CCCCCGGCCCTGCCCCGCCGAGCAGGGCCCCCTCCCCCTCTTCGGGGCCCTTCCCAGGGCGCGGGATGCGTTTCGGGGGTTGCGGTTTCATCTCATTTCCCGCTCCCGGCAACGATCAGTCCCGAAGAAAAACGGGGCAGCGGTGACAGGCGCTGTGAAGCACCCCTCAAGGCCTCGCGGGGTCAAAAACCCCCAGCGCTCAGGTAAAGGGGACGATAAGGCCATAAATAGATGGCAGTGCTACTCCCCAAAGATTTCTCACGTCATTCGTCAGGCCAGGGACCAAAAAAGGCTGTTAGACAAAACAGCTGTGAAAAATTTTGTTCCACACAACACCCGTTAAAAACACTTTCTAAATCAGAAAAAAATGGTTGGAAACAGCTGAAACGTCTAAGAAAGCGGTCTAAAAATAAGTTCCACATTTTTGCAAGAAAATCTATGGTAGGGTCCTGTAGCATGGTTTCTAGCTGGTTTGAGAATGGCTTTGAATATTACAGTCCCACATTGGACTCAAACTATTACACTGTCATGGAGCCCTGAGGAAAACCCCAAATTCCTAATACCTCCCCGGGTAGGTCACCTACCTTGCTGGCAGCATTTACAAAGATACAACCTAAATTATTGCTCTGCTTGCAAAAATAATACATTGTTTCCTCTTTCAGCCTCTGGTAAGATTGGGTAAAATATTGCTCTCAGCTAGGTTGACGACATCCAGTGACATCAGTGGAGTTTCTCACCTTTACGCTTTGTGAGTAGTAAATCACTCTATGTTTTTCCCCCGCAACCCCAAAGCTAACATCAAATCTCTTCTGCCGTATACCCCCAGCTTCTATAGGAATGGAGGCTCGCAGAGGTTTTGGTGTCAGGAGTAAGCACCGGGTTTATTTACGCTCTTGGCATTCACGTGCAGCGGTGTGAAAAACAGGGACCGGGAGCAGTCAGTAGCTTCTGGCTGCTTCACCTGTTAGCATGGCGTCCAAAAGGATTTCAACCCCCAACTATCGTATTTTATGTATAAATATAAATTTGTTTAAATTACAAAGCAAGTAAAATATTCTCATGCTTCTAGACACAGGTTAAAGCAGAACAAATAAAACCTGAACTGATAGAGCCATAGAAAGAAAAAGCTTTAGAGAAGCTTTTCGCTCAGTTGTGTTATGGTGTGCAAGGCCTTGACCACCATGAATCAAAATTATCTCCAGGTGAGCTAAGTGTTGCCGTGATGAAAGCAGTCACGTGGATTCAACGTTGGTTCAGAAAGCGTGCACGTGGGATGGACAGAAGAGCATTATTTCCTGAATGAAAACTTTACAAAAGTTCAATTTAGAACTGCTTAATAAAGCAATTGTAAAAATATGATGTGAAACTCCATAAAGGCATTTTATTACAATTTCTTGGCTGTTTCCTTGAAGCTAATTGCTTCCACCCCTAATCCTCCAACGATGGGCTGCAAGTGCCTTCCAGCTCCCCCATTTTTGAAGCCTAGGTGTAAAGCGTGAGCGTTCAGCTTCCATCTAAAACGCAGTTTTAAGAGCGTTGGCAGGATTTCTCCGCGTTTTACAACTTAAAAAGCCTGGCAACTTCCTTCTCTTTCCGTCGGGCTTTGCAAGGCCGGGGGTGCGGGAAGGGACGCGAGGTGGCAGCGCTGAGCCTCGTCTGCCCGGCGTGGGGAAACGCCGAGCTAGCGAAGCCCGGATTTATTATTATAATGATTATTATACACACCCCCCCCCCCCCCCCATGGTTTTACTGAGCAGCAAAGCGCTGCACGTTTCTAACTGAAATTCCGTAGGTTTGCACACAAGAGCTCTCAGGGCGGCAATGCCGACACATTTCACCTGTACGCCGCTGAAACGCTTCGCGACTGACCATAAACCTCCCCGGGGGGCTGTGAGGGCCCGGTCGTTAATGCCGCCGCTGGCACGCGTACGGCGGGGAACCGGAACCCGCCCTTCGCCTTGCAGGCGGAGCAAGAGCGGGTGTCAAAGGGCTCGTCCCGGGGCAAAGCTTCTGGGCAGATCTGCAGCCGTACGGGGCACCACGAGCACTGATTCAGGGTTTTCCGTGTGAATCAGACCGCAGCCCCCACCGGTTAAAATGCCTTGAGAGCACGCAGGTTTAGCACCGCAGCAGTGCTCCCCTCTCCCCCTTAAGCTGAGGCTTCCTAGCGCCCAGGCTCATTTAACTGCAGCCCTTGCAGCTGATCTTTTCCACACCCCCAGCTCTGTAGGCTGTGAGAAATGCTTTGGAGTCGGCTCCGGCTGAGCTTTCGGCAGCAGCCCTTCCCTCCCGCGGAACGTGCTCCCGCACGCCCGCGCCGGCCCGCAGCGCTTGGCTTCCCGG